AATTCAAAATTATATTGTTTGCTACTTATGTGTATTTATTTATTTTCAATAATTTTATTTTTAATAGTTCCGTCTACTATATAACAGAAACCACATAAATAAAAGTTTCAAAGCTTGCACAAAATTCCCAAAAATAAATCAAACTTAAAAATATTTTCATAAATATTTCGAACTTTTTATTCAGGACCTTTATAAGACTTTCGGGTATACAGTTTTGTAGCCCGTTCACTTTTAGTCTGATAAAGTGCAAGTTTCAAGTCGCTAAAAGTTACCGTTGATTTTTTATATTTTTTTGCGGATGGTGTAGCGCTTTTTTTGCCATATAAAATACTTGTCAACTTTGTGCACACACGAGCGCCTTGGTATAGGCAACGGATTTGTGCACAGTAGCGACAGCACAGTTAGTGAATCGCACAATCGTTACTGCAAACAACAAAAATTGTTAGCTGACAACTCGACAATTCGCATTGTTAAAAGTTAGTGAATCGCACTACTGTCCTCCGCAGTGAAATTCCAAACCAGGCAGTATAAATACTAGTTCGTTAACTAGTATGCGCTAAAGCGACGGCCTACTACTTCGGCAATTTCGAACAACTTATGCGATCAGTGACATCTGTCTTTGCATATCCACAACCAAAACTAAAATGCGGTTAATTGCTTTCATTACAAATGTCGGCTGTGGCGCCGAGAGAAGACTACCGATTCTGGTTCTGAGATCTCAGGTTCGAGTGCGCGTGGAGGTTGTTAAAGTAAAGTAAGTAAATTAATTTAAATAATTATTTAAATTTAAATATAAAATAAAAATTGTACATACATTTAATTTCATTTGGAAAAAACCTAATAGGGAATTTACAGGCAATTTTTAGGTGAAAGCAACAATCGCCTGGTGTAAACGGCCTTTCAATTAATCGCTTTCAATGAAGTTGGTCGGCTGCCTACTTTCGTTCAACTTTTGGTACAACTAATCGCCTGTGAAAGTTGAATCATGTAAATTCCCTATAAATACTCAAATACCATAAAAAATTAAAACAAATAATTTGTTGTTCTTTTTAAAACAATAAGATTAAAAATTACAAGAGATATAAATAAAAAATAAATATAAAAAAGATTCGCTTACTGAGATTCGAACTCGGATCTCTTGATTTGGCGTGCTAAAGCTTTACTCTGTCGACCATTGCCACTGTTGCAGCGCCGCGAATGACATACTTATGATTTTCACGGGGAATGAATAGGCAGTCTATCCCGTCAACTGGTATGATGCTACTAGTATTTCTACTGGTAGCGTGCTGATGCAGGAGCGGACAATTGGCATCTCCTATGACACCGCCATGTTAAAAATTCCAGTCGCTAACATTAAAAAAGGATACAACGTGAACTAGTTGGGCTGAAACGCAAACTGGTAGCATTCTGGTTCACAACCAGTGTCGCCATTTTAGCCGTTTTCCGGTTATATTTAGCCGGTCGGATTAGCCGGCAGCCAGTTTGTTAGCTGTTTTGCAAAAAAATTAGCTCTTTTTAGCCGATTTTACTATTTGCCTTGTTTTCTTAAAATTCAAATATATACATTAGACTGCATCACTCCCCATAAAAAAAATCGTTACTGTTTTTCCATTGGAATTATAAAATCTATTATATTTTAAGACGTCCACGAAAATATTTCGGAAAATATTAAGATTTAAGCGAACTGGACCGATTTGAAAATACCTCCAAAAATGGATGATAAAGATGTTTTTCGAAAAAATCCCCTCAAATGACAAAACGGTTTAAGCTTAAGAAATGTCCATAAAAATATTTAAAAGAAATAAAATAAAACTCTGAACGGAACCGTAATAACGAGATTTTTGATGCTGTTTTTTAACTTTTTTCAAAGATTGGTATGAGAGAAACTTGAATAACTGAACCTAAACTCTTCCGATTTAGACGCGGGAGGTATCATTGGAAAGGTATTTTCTCAAACTTTTTATTTATTTGCTAATAAGCTCATTCAAAGTATGAAAGAGAGAGGTAGGATGAACAAACATCATTCTAAGTTGAATTAAGTAAGATGTGTTGGTATGTGAAAAAAAAATTTGGGACACGAATGACTTTTTTTGCACATAAATAACAGTGGGAAAATATCTTTCTACCAAGATCCCATAAGTATATCCAGAATAGTTTTGGCCCAGTTATTCAAGTTTTTCGTAAATCAATCTTTGGAAAAAGTAAAAAACCAGCATCAAATATCTCATTATTACGAATCCGTTGAAAAGATTTTTAAAAATGTTTATGCAGATTTTTTAAGCCTAATCTGTTTTGTCATCTGAGGGGACTTTTTTCAAAAAATANGCCCAGTTATTCAAGTTTTTCGTAAATCAATCTTTGGAAAAAGTAAAAAACCAGCATCAAATATCTCATTATTACGAATCCGTTGAAAAGATTTTTAAAAATGTTTATGCAGATTTTTTAAGCCTAATCTGTTTTGTCATCTGAGGGGACTTTTTTCAAAAAATATTTTAAGAAACTATTTTTATTCATAAAAAACTTAATTTTTGGAGGTATTTTCAAATCGGTCCAGCTCGCTTAAATCTTCACATTTTTCCGAAATATGTTGGTGGACGTCTTAGAATATAATAGATATTGTAATCCCGGCAGAAAAACCGCAACTTTTTTTGGTGATGTAGTCTAATATACATATGCTTCCATTTTAGACTAAACGACTCAAAATCTGTTAGAAATGGCTACTAGCCTTATCGCGGAGAAAATTTTCATGTCAGGCAGGGTGTTTAGGCGTGTCTGCTAACACCAGGCGCCTAAATACATGCTATGTACTGCTGCATGTAATTGAACTTTCTAAAGTTTTGATTAGATAGCACTTCAAAGTATGCTCAGCCTAGTCTGGTGCATCCTCCGGACACTGCTTCCGGAGCATTTTGCGGACTCTGCATGGCTTACATCCGTGCAGAGCTGGTAAACGAACTTTACCATTGGCCACAGTGCCTACCCACCATTTTTGAACCAATAATATTTTTTTTTTTATATTTTATAAATACATACATGCAAACATACTGGTCTGTCTCCCCTCTCACTGAGTTATTCACAGCAGTGTTGCCATGTTTTTGGCATGAGAAAACGTCCCTCTTGGTCTGAAAAAACGTCATTTCCTACCCAAAAACTTCTTTTCCATGTACGCACGCAGAATTGTTCTTATTAAACTTTTATTATATACAAAGGTACATATGTACGTAAGGTATATTAAAATGTCATTTCGACAGAGCACATTTAAGATTCATTAGTGGTATTCACCAAAGTCAGCAAGTGCCCTGGCACTCTGGCAAAACAGCAGATGAGCTCAAGCAACGACATTGACAACAATTTGGTGAATACCACTATTTTAAACTCGTTTGAGATCGTTAATATAAAAATCCTTTTATACATACACTTGTGATCAGCTGATTAAGTCATCAACATTTTGATCGATATTGGCTGTTTTTCTTTTGTTTATTATTTTTGCATAGCTCATTATATCACTAACACAATATAAATCCACAGTTCAAACTTTGTGCAAAAATTATAAAAAATCTGCAAAGTTTCAGCTTTTTTCAAGTTTTTATTCAGAATTTTTTTCCTTCCTAAGGTGTTGAATTACTCGAAACNGCCAATACATGTCACATCCGGCGTACCTCAGGGCAGCCATATTGGTCCCGTCTTGTTTATTTTATTTATAAATGACCTTCCTAAGGTGTTGAATTACTCGAAATGCTTAATGTACGCTGATGATGTTAAGCTCTTTAAGTACATTAGTACTGCAGAAGATAGGGAGCATTTGCACGCTGACCTAACCTGCATTTTCCATGTCACTCAATTTGAAAAAGTGTAAAATCATTACTTTCTCTAGAAAATCTTTCTACCCAAATTCGTATATGATATCTGACCACAATGTTGAGCAAGTGACCAATTTCATTGACCTAGGTGTAACTATGGATCCGAAACTAGAATTCAAGTCTCACATAAACTCCTGCGTGATTAGGGCTAGAGGATTGTTGGCTTTTCTTAAGCGCTGGGCCAAGGAGTTCAACGATCCTTATGTCACTAAAGTTCTCTTTACCTCTCTAGTTAGACCGATTTTGGAGTATGCATCTATAGTATGGAATCCTAGCTATCAAATTCATAGTGACAGGCTCGAATCAGTGCAGAAACAGTTCCTGTTATTTGCCCTCAAAAATTTATGTTGGGACTCGTCTAAAAATCTCCCACCCTACAAGGATCGCCTGAAGCTTATAGATTTGCCGACGCTTCAGAGTCGTAGAGAGATGCTTGGTGTTCGTTTTTTAATTAAATTAATGAACGGGATCAGTAGTCCCTTTTTACTGAGTGAGATAAATTTTTGTATTCCCACAAGATCCACGAGACATTTTAAACCTATTGTGTTGAGTATTTGTAAATCAAACTTTGAAATGCATGATGCTTTTCGGTGTTTATGCCAAGATTTTAACAAGCATTATGATTGCTTTGACAAATCTGAATCCCTTTTTGTAATAAAGAAAACTTTGCTTAACAATTTAACTAAATAAATTAATACCGTGAACGAAAAAATTACACAACATCTATGACTGCTTAATACAATTGTAACGGCTTCGTATATTTCCGCGACCGCGTAGGACAATACGAGCAGGGATCGGAAGCTCGGCCTTTCCGACCATGATCAACGGCCTGTAAACAGCGCGGAGCGGAAACTAGGTCTTTCCGCCCGCCGCACACAAAAGTAGACTGGAGACAAGGCCTCGCCAGCTACCCAAATTGCTATTGTATATCATTATTATCTTTACAAGTTAATATTTATAATTATTTCACTCTGTAATGTATCACACATACTTAAATATTCTAAATCTTTTTATCTCAATTGTCTGTAATGAAAACATTTTTCTGTAGACTAAATAAAAAATATAAAAAAAAACTGGTAGCTTTCCCTGCAAGGTAGCTATTGACGCGCACACACTCACCCATACATACACTATACTTACACTTGGTATATTATCGCTATTGCAAACTTGCTCCGACAATAATCGATCTCGAATCTCCCATGCGAAAATGCTCGGACATTCCCGCTTGTAATCAGCTATTTTTTGTACGACAGGTGTTGTGGCGACACGTGGTTTTGAGCCACCTATCGCCCGTGGCTTAATGGATCCCGTTTCGTAATATCTGAAAATATGAAAGAGTTAATAACGGTTTTATGCTGAAATTTCGTAGTTGTACCACACTGCTTATAGCCTTAAACGGTGGTCCATAATTTACGTAAGATTTTAAATAAATGGAAAGGAAAGATGTTTTTACAATTTCATTTTCCTTTTAGTTATTTAATCATAAAGTACATAGGTTAGGGTTATGTCTGGAATAGTACAGTGTGCAAATGAGCCTCAATTATGGGACACCCAAGAATGATAGAATACAAGATTGCGCCGTCCTGGCCGTTGACATTTGTGTACCACAAGTAAACAAAGAATAGAGCGAAAAGAAGAACGAATTGAAACTGCTTAAACGGTTCACTTTACAGCGAAAAACGTGTTTTAATTTTGCTAAATGCGAAAATATTGCATTTTCACATAATCTATTAGAGAATAGTGAACGTTAGTGCACTCGATTGCTTTGCAATCGAAGCTTCTGCAGCAAACATTTTAGTGCACTCCATTGCTTTGCAATTAAGGCTGATGCAGCAAACTGCGGCAGGATCCCAGCGGGATTATTTAGTTAACTTGCTAAAGGAGGATTCTTGGAGCAGAAGCGAAGTGATTGTGACGAAATGCTGGCAATATAATAATATAGATACATTTCGAGAACGGCTTTACCGCGCCCTATGTATACAAAATGCAGCGATTCGTCGCAGCGCTACAGTTGCATCTACGCATCTCGCATCTTGACGGCTGTCGAAATTTAGCACAGGGCACTTCATTCTATTAGTTTTTAAACCGTCTTCAACTCAAAAAGCACTCACAAATTGCAAATTAACACAATTTAAACTGATTTTCCACTTATATTTAAAATTCTCTTTGTCGCTGATTTGTAAACAAAGGTTTATTTACAAGTTACCACAACTGTCAAAATCGGCAAAACCAAAGTAGCGGTACCACTGACGGCGCCACCTTTGTTCGCTGCACCGTGTGGGACACCCTTATTATAGCATTTTTATGCTAAGTCAATACGTAATTGATTTTTTGATTGTGTACCTAAATGCAAAACATTCGAATACATACATACCCTGCAAGGAAACCGCGGGCTAGTGAATCAAATTTCTAGTTCCATAATACATACTTGTTTCTTTCGTCTGTCGATTTTAGAACTGGTTCGGAACTGTAGAATTTAGGACTAGTTCGGAACTATCGAAAAAGGGATGCAGCGGGGGCAATTGACACTTCCTAGGACATCGCCATGTTAAATTCGCCAGTTGTTTGCATGCAAAAGAGATTTATCGCGAACCAGTACTGGGTCTAAATGTACTAGAAGCGCGCTAGTTCAGAACTAGAGATTTTCCCCACAGGGTACATATACATGTACATATAAATTTTTACATACATACATTTGAATATGCATATACAGCAGGAAACCGCTAAATGGTGCATAATCCCGCTTAGTTATTATTAGGGATGTGCCGGATTGAGATTCTGCCGGATAACCGGATTCCGGATACCATGTAAAATATAAGAGCCGGATTCGGATATCCGGTAGACTGCTGCACTTATAAATGTCACAATATTGTATATCTCTTTTTGTTTAGTGACACACTTATGACCAGATTATCTGCTTTTTCGAGCTGAACTATCCCAAGAATGATACAATATATCATATGTTATATGCATGACGTCGAAATCGTCGATAATGAAGTACTGGTGATAACCAGACCTTGAACAACCGGCTCTTAGCTTAGGTGAAAATACTTCTGTTTAAAATAGACATTAGATTTGAAGAACTTTTCTATTTACAGCAACAAAATTAAACCTTTATAGGAGCTGTTTTCATTATAAAGTCTTGCTTAAGCAGCAGCGGTATGGTACCGCGCGGTATAACTCCGTATGGCATGTCTGCTCATAGAGCGCTACTGCCATGCATATAATAGAGTAGGTAACGTCAATAACGATGTTTAACTGCACATTAGTGTTAACTAGAGATGGCGAAAACTACCCTAATGGGCTGTTTTTGCTAACGCGTAAAAGCACATTTAGCGCATTTAGCTCTAAATGCTACTCTAAATGTACATTTATCCATACAAAAATCGTCACCTAAATGCAACACCATTTCTGCATTAAGAATCTAAATCAGAGGTTCCCAAACTTATTTTTATCGTAGACCCCTTTCAAAACTTTACTGGTTTCGGTGGACCCCCTGATGCTCATTTCTAATATATTCCCAAAGCTCATCAAAAAATATGAAGATTAAATCAAACGATGTAATTTTGCATCGCGGGTGGGTTCAAAAACTAAATTCGGAGTTGTAAAAATAATAATAAAATATTTTCTTGTGTGATTACACACTTGCAAGTTATAAAAAACAGAGCTCGTAAAGCCATGAAAGAACTATTTCGCACTGAGGAGATATATTTTTTAAGAGTTTGTATGTGATGCATGGGCGTAGCCAGGTAGGGGCAGGGGGGGTTCTCGAGCATCCCCGCCCCCCCCTAACTTTCAAATTTTCCGTATATATATATAAAATAGTACCCTGAAATGCCAGCTTAATAGGGTCGAGCCCCCCCCTAAATTTCATTCTGGCTACGCCGAATCACATTGTGATGTATTTGTCAAATAGTTTATTTGTGTTGATGGCATCATTTTTATATTTATCGCTGCGATAAAAATGAGTCATTCGCATTTTTAAAACACAAAACTTGAAACAACAAAACTGCTAAGCTTTTGCGCCAAACTTCAAATTCAGAAACTGGCAAAATAGAAAAACCCGAATCTAGACAAATCGATGATAAACAAACAAGCAAGCAAGGAGCTCAAAAAATGTTCCACCGTCTTATCCTCTTCAAAGCAGTATGGGCAAATGGAGTGGTCATTTACGCCTATCAGGAAAAAACTAGATAGACCTTCTGAGATTGAAGGCAACATGAGTTTTGCCCACCTGCATCCAATCAATGGCTCCCAGTCATTGCTCAGCGAAGTATCCACCAGGCCTCTGATGGTGGCTTCGATGGTCGAATTGGGGAGTGCTATAACTGGCTGCGGATCGAAGAATACCTGGTCTAACCCAACTGTGGCCAAAGGGTCAGATGTCTCATTTCCAGGCACTCCCGAGTTGCCCGGTACCCAGAGTAAAGCAAGCTCGTTATCTTTACCAACATAATTTAGTCGCCACTAGCATTGCCGAACTAGTTTGGAAGTACTTCGATAGAGGGCTGGCCAATTCTTTAAGTGTAGTTTGGCTGTACCTGTAGACACGTAAACTCCTTCCTCTCCACCACGAAGTCTATGGCTTTGGGAATTGCAAATACCTCAGCCTGGAAGACCGAAGCATATTCCCCAAGAGAAAGAGTGAAGCTTATCCACATTAACTTCGAAAAATACTCCAGATCCTGACTCTGAGTCAGTTTTGGAGCCATCAGTGAAGATTCGACAATGTACGAGTGCGGGCTCAGTGCTGGAATTAAACCAGCATTCCCCCTCAGTGAACTCTCTCTCTCTAGAATCTCTTTATCAAAGGTAATGGTGGCGTACTACCCTGTAGCATTGAAAAGACATAAGTGCTCAAATATCTGCCGTAGGCAATTTCCGCATCGCTTCACTCAGTGTTATACCAACATCCGATTCTTTTTAGTCTGACAAAAATTCCCACAATTCGAACATGGTTTAATGGAAAAAGTGGCAACATTTCTTTTTCGCGTATACAGTGGCTAGCTGCGTTTCAGTGATCGCCGATCGAGATCTCATTTATTATTTTACATTATTTGGATAAAGAAAAGTTACTCAAATTCAACATCGATGTGATGCTGATAGAAATCTGGATCAACTTGTGGTCAACTCTGTTTGTTTTGTTTCGTATTTAAGTGAGGAAATTTTAATTGACAGCACCGGCAATTGAATATATTCACAAACAAATTTTTGGTTATGGTTAAAACAATTCATATATTTGTATTGAATTTTTTCTTTACAAATTATTTTTTCCTTTTCAGTAGGGTTTTTCGCACATTATCTTCTCCGTGAGGATTGATCGTGATAGATACGGATCTGAGTAAGCGTCTGGAACACGGCTGTTTGTCAAAAGCATACGATTTGGAACTCGCGTAAATGTACATTTGCTAAATGCGATAGCATGAACACTCTTCGAAAAACATATGTTTGAAAGCGCTTAATGTTGCATTTTAAATGCAACAAAAACGCTGCATAGGCGCCGTTTTTTCAATGTGTGGTTATCACTACCTCCCAGTTAAAGATCATTATCGACATCTTCGACATCATGCATTAAACATGGGATCGATAAACCAGTCAATGTATTTAACCGAAGCGTTTGCCTCCGGTTTGTGTTAACCGGATATTGAAAGGCCATTGCAGACCGTTTGCGACATGGTTTCAGCGTTCTACGCAAAAATTTGTTCATGAAATAATTTGGTATTAAATATATAAGCCTGAAAAGTGTTCTAGCATCGTTACAAAAATTTTAATTTACTGTACTATGGTCTTAGAGCTTACCCCACGACTCCCCCTTCTACTATTCTGTTAAAAAAGCTGTGGTGTGACAGAAATGTCAGGTGGAGTATGAAAATTTCCACTGTTAAACCATATCTGTCTTGCCGAATTTTTTACCATCGCTGTCTTAACATCAGCTGTCATTTCGTAGTTTGACAACTCAGTATTCATCTTGCCGCGCCATCTACATTGGGTACAGATTGGTGTGATTGGTTTGATGCCATTTTGAAGGTGATATGTTAGGGGACAAAGTTAAAAGAGAAATTTGACCGATGTTAAGACACATTTAGTAGAAAATGGAGACCTGCACCCGGATTCCAACATTCGCTATCGCTAAAACTCCAACGCCAAAAAGTGCTAAATGAATTTTAGCAATTTTCAGCGATTTTCGCGATTGTATCATGAAAATGCAACTCTAAAAATCGCCAGTTTTGGCTCATTTTTTGACAAATTTTAGCGATAAACAAAATGAACCCGGATAAAGTGAGTGAACTGTTTTTGACAGCTCAAACACCTAAAATGGCG